TGATCTCCACAGTGGCGTCCAAGAGCTGAATTTATTTAAAAGAGCTTCCAGATTAGTGTTAGTGCCTTAGTATATTTGGCTTGGATTCCAAAGAATGGCATTTCTATGGCATGTTATATAAAAACTGTATCAAACTTTTATTAAACTTATATTAGCCCTGTGAGACTAGTGGGTTTGTTTTGTGATTTCTCAGGACTCTCTCTAATGCACATATAATCTGTATATACAGGCCTAAAACTTGAGAATAAAGATAGTTTATTGCTAAACATGGTTCTATTAAAAGCATTATTTCTTTGACAGTACAAGGAAAAAGAAAGTGGGGAACAAAAGTGTCTTGAAAACTTAGAAAAATGAAATTAAGGTTCAGTTATCTAAGGCCCCTTCTACACTGCCATATAAAATCCAGATTATCTGCTTTGAACTGGATTATATGGAAGTGTAGACTCAGATAAACCAATTCAAAGCAGATAATGTGGATTATCTGCTTTGATAATCTGGATTATATGGTAGTGTAGAAGGGGCTAAAGTGTGTCTATACATTGTAGAATAAATGCAGAATGAATTAAGGCTCAGTGCTGTGGAATTCTAGGAGCTGTAGCTTGGGGGGACACCAGCAATCTTTGGTAGAGAAGGCTAAATACCTTGAAAAACTACAGCTCCCATGATTCTTTACCCTTGATCTATGGCAGTTATAGTGGTGTCAAACTGCATTACTTCTACAGTGCAAATATACCCATAATGGAAGAAGATTGGAAGATTTCCTAGTCCCTCTTCTTAGCTCCCTATGTTTACCATAAAACCCCTTTGGAGATTTGACTCCTATCAGATTTAGTGAGATGGGTTCCTTGGTAAGAAGGATATTGCCCAAAATTTGGCAGATTTCTGCCCTTTTGGGATTATCACTATTGCTTTAATAACATCCCCTGTCTCCTTCTGGGAAGTTTTTCCCAGATCCTCTGAAAACCCTTTTCTGTGGCCGAGGGATCCTGTGAGGAAAGAAGGCAATCAACTCTGAATCTTGAGCAGACTTACATTGGGAGTGTGGTTAAAATGGCAATGAAGGTGGGAAGGTGGGTATGTTTGTGGAATGAAGTCATGTTTTCTTGTGGCAATTTCTCAACGCTGTTGTTTCTGTGTGTGCAGTTGTTCTGTGTGTGCATTGATTACGCTCTCTTTTGACATTCCAGAAAGGATGAAGAGAAGATTAAATATAAGCATGTCAAATATTTGAGAAAGATAGAGGTTTTTGTTGGGTTTTTTTGTTTTTTGCTCAATGCTGTCATGAAAAGAGTCAGCATGATAAACCTTGGAGAACAGAGTTGGAATCTGTCGTTGACCATGGAAACCTATTGAGAGACAGTGAGCAAGTTGTACTGTATCGGCCTCAGAGGAAGGCAAAGGCTCCCTGTGAACAAATGATCCTAAGAAAACTCCATGATCAGTTCAATTTATGGTCGCCATTTGTCAAAACCAGCTTGATGGCATGCAATAACGATACTATCATGAAAAACCCAAGCTTTCCAGAGTCCTATGTTGAAATCCTTACAACTTCTGCATTCCAAAAAGGGATGTTGAATATAATCGGTTGTTCAGAAAACAACAAACATTATGAGCTCTAGAACATGGTCATATAGCTCAAAAAAACCTACAACAACCCAGTATGAGCTTGATATTTAGATTAGCAGCTTTTAGATTATAGGATTAGGGATTGGTACATTGTCTAATTTAGCTACAGTTGAGTCTCGCTTATCCAACATAAACAGGCTGGCAGAACGTTGGATAAGTGAAAATGTTGGATGATAAGGAGGGATTAAGGAAAAGCCTATTAAACGTCAAATTACATTATGATTTTACAAATTTACAAATTAACACCAAAACATCATGTTTTTACAACAAATCAACAGAAAAAGCAGTTCAATATATGGTAAGGTCATGTAGTAATTACTGTATTTACAAATTTAATGCCAAAACATTGCAATGTATTGAAACAGCTGTGGATCCAGGCGGGAGGCAGACTGCATTAGATAATACAGAACGTTGGATGAGCAAAGATTGGATAAGCAAGACTCTACTGTACTTATAACTGTTTCATATTACACTAGAAGCTTCAGGGACAAGGAAGCTGGAGGTGGCCTTAGCTTTTTGGACAGAAAGTAAGGAATTGCTAAAAGAGGCAGGCAGACTGTAAAGTTCTTAGGGCAGGGCAGAAACACACGTGAAGTTACTGTTGCAGAAACAAAAGGCTTCCCCACCTCACATAATAGTTATACCACACCTCCCTTGTTTTTTGAGAAAAGGGGAAAAGTGTAACTATTTTGTGATGAAATACAGTAATTAGAAATGGTGCGTAAGGTCGGGATGGATTTTTCATCAATTGTGGGCTATTAACCCGAGGAAGTTTATTTTGAAAACCTGTGTAATATAATGATTCCAGTTCTGGGTGAGGAGCTGAGAGATCCCATTCTGCTCAATCATAATGCTTGTGTTTTCAGTCCAACTTGCTTTTTAAGTCTGTTGTGATGATAAAGCAGGAGAGAACCATGTAATAAATCTTAGTTTTTGAAGAAAAAGCCGGTTATCAATATAATTCTTAAGAGCAGGGATTGTGAATCAAGAGATCAATTTAATCTGTATATATTTTGAATAAGAACTTTCAAACAGCAAACTTATTAGCATATTTTGTTGAAGGCACATTGGAAAAACTATGATACTTCTTTGGAAAAATAATAGATTTCTTCTCTAAAGTTTATCAACCTCTTTTGCTGCATTTTTATATGCTATTCGTTTCATTTTAGTAATCTCTGTGATTCACACAAATTAGTTTTCTGTACCTGTGCAGTGCATCATGTAGAACCTTCTACAGCTATTATGTATGTGCTTTGGTGGTAGCCCCTCCTCTCCTGGTTCATATGACCAGCTTGATACCAGCTCAAAGCATCAGTTCATTTTCATCTGCCACAGCATCATGATCAGAGGAACTGTTGGCGAGCTCTTTACTTATATCTGGCTATATTTCTATTTTTATACTCTTTTTGAACTATACCTTGGCTTTGTTCTAGATTTTATCTTTTGGCTTTATTGGGACTGCTCAATTGATTCTGACTTATCTTACAAGTTTGGTTCTGGTGGCCTACCACAACTTTCTCCAGTTCTGTTAAGAAATAAATCTCCTGCGGGGCAAAAAAAATTCCAAGACTCCCTTGATACTAGTTTAAGACCCATCGCAAACTAGGTTCCTGCGGGAGAAAACCTTGCTAGCACGTCCCTGACGTCATGAGCCTGCGCCTCTCTCCCCGCCCCTTTCTCCGCCCCTTTCTCTTTGCCAGCGTGGTTTTTCCTTTGCTAGGGCAGCATTGCCCGCATTTTCTCTCAGTTGAATTCTGCCAACTGAGAGAGTATGCTGGCAATGCTGCCCTAGCAAAGGAAAAACCACTCTCGCAAGGAGAAAGAGGCGGAGAAAGGGGCGGGGCGAGAGGCGGAGTCTCATGACGTCAGGGACATGCTAGCAAGGTTTGCTCCCGCAGGAACAGAGTTTGCGACGGCTCTAAGGAATCAAGATGGAGTACTGATCCTGTGTTCCTCCAACATCTTGATCTGGAGGCCCTTGCCTCTACCTCAAAGAATACTCCAAGGCAAAGAATATGGATTATCCTTATCTATATCACTGTCTCCTTTGCCATACGATTTTGATCAGGCAGTGGAAGTCACTGCCTGAACATTGATGTTCAATGGCACTAGATTTTGAGCTGCCATTAACAGGACCAACAGTCTCAGAGATTCTTTTTCTGCTACTCTACCGACATGAAGAGTCTACAAGTTTCATCCCAGTATTTTTAGAGCGGATTGCTTCCACAATTCAGCTGGTATCCTCAATGATTCATGGTCCACATCTAGGAGAGTGTTTGAAACTGTTTGAAGGCAAACTGTCTCATGGCCAGAATGGCAAAGATGTATGTGAACAATTTACAACAGTATAAATAAAGATATATCAATGTACTTTTTTTTTCAAGTCTCCCTCTTTTTTGAGTAAAACTGAGTTGAAAAATTAGTGGAAGCTCTTATTTATTCTCCTCATTTCAAAGGCACTTTATATATGTCTGGATATGTTTTTGTTATGGGGGAAAATTGCCAAAGCCAAAGAGAATCTCTGGAAAGTTGAATCCTCCTTGAGGTTGTAGTGGCCTATTTCTATTTACAGACTGAGTTTTTTTTTTCAGTTTAGCAGTTTTATTTTGAAGATGAAAATTTTTGTGAACAGTGGCATTTATATTCACTTGTATTCTGTAACGCTGGGTGTATGGATTGTCCTATATGTAATGTGTATACATCATGAAAAAGAACTTGTCATGTCAGAAAGCCCCTCATGATACTTTTTTCCAGTCTTCCGTTACATTGGGAAGTTGTCCTATGGGCAACATTTATGACAGACTTTAGGAGATGTATTCAACAGATTTTAGTATTCCGGTTGCCATTCCTGAACAACTGCACTTGAGGTACAGCCTACTATTATGCAGATGTATATCAGACATCATTCTTGTTTATACTTCATGTGTTTATCATCTCTGCACACCTGATATGAAGAAGCATTAACTTGTTTTGACTAGTGTAATCCATCCTCTCTGTCATAATGGAGGAGTAAGTTATACAGTGAAATATCTACAGTACCTCTGTACTCTCCCTGAAATGTTTGTAGTATTTTTAAAAGGCAGGAGGTAGTTTTCCCACACTGATATTTTACTGTGTGCTGCCTTTCAGATCCAGACAGGACTGCTACTTCCTGGAAGGGACATAATTCTGGTCCAGAAATATTTAATCCTTTGCTTCAGTGTGGAGTGATCAGCTGCATGTGCAGCACACAAAAATGTCATGGTTAGAATTTCCCTACTGCATGTGTAGCCAGCACACCACTTTTATTGAGGAAGAGGAAATAGGAGCCTCTTGTAAACAAGCAATGGATTTATATGACAAGGGAAAAATGAACTTGTACTCTTGTGTTACAGATTCAGTGGTTCTTTCCTCTGACTCCGCTGGACGTTCAATAGGCTCAGGTACAACACCCGCTCCCCTTCCCCTCTCACAAATAAAAAAGATTGCCATTTAATTTATATTTGACAGCCATGTTGGGAGGCAGATTAAGAGGCTGTCCGGTCTTGTTCAGGATTACCCTTCAAGACAGCTGTTGAGAGAAATGTGATGGATTCTTATCTTAAACATGAAGTTTTTATACATTACTTAGTGTGACATGGAAATTCAAAGCCACTTTGGGTGGAACTGCTTGTTCCATCTTGTTGCAATGTTATTGCTTCATTTTGTCTTTTTGACTAAACACTTATTCTAGGAGGTAGACGCTGTGGGCACATTTACATGTATTGAAAATGCAAAGATTCTGGCCTTTTTAAATCATGGTATAAATGAGTAGCATATTTGTGTATGCTGCCTAATGCTCCTACCTCATACTTAACATTACGTAAGCTCATATAAAGTGAATTGAGAAAGCTTAGTATGAAAACTGCAGTTAATTGCACCGAAATAAGCAAAAATTAATTCAACAAGAAACCTCAAATATTTTTCGTGCCTGGTTTATCTGCTGATATGAAGGGAGAAGCACACCAAGAATGAATAAACTGCACACATATGTAATGGTAATAACTCTCTGTGTTGTTTAATAATCCTGGCCCCATGTTTTAGTATTACATATCAACCAGGTCATTAGAAACAGGGATCCATGTTCCACACAATAAAAAAAACATATTGTGTTTTTTGCTAGTGTAAAACTGGATGCAAAACTGGAAACAGCAGACTCTCAGTTAACTGGCACCTGTGGGGATTGGTAAATGCCAGAAAAATGTAGTTTCTAGTTTGTTATGAGATGCTATTAAAAGTAGGCCTAACACTATACCATGGCATAAACCCTTTATTGATATTAATATTAAAGTGTGGTAATTAAAAGCAAATAAAAGCAAACAAAGACAATTAACATAGTTGTTTTGTATAACAGAGGAGTGATGATGACAGTCACTTAATGATCACAAGCTTCTTCTATAGCTTGGATTTTGCCTAGAGTCAAGGCAGTGAGCTGAGATGTAACTAACAAATGTAAACACGTGCACACTTACTTACCCCAAAAACCATGGAGTGTCCTGTATGCTAGCTGGAAAAATGTCCTTCCATGAGAGGGTGTTTATTTAAGTGGTTCATTTTATTCATACACAAGTAAGGAATCTGTTCAGGCAGGAAGATGGACATATGGTAAGAGTCAGATGCAGTTTGTGTAGTGACACATAGAATTCGTAAACTCAGAGGGAAACTCCTTTTTGCTTCTAGATTATGAATGGATCATATAAAGTTACAAATTTGAGTCTGAAGACAAGTAACCAGGACGCTTACAAAGCAGCACCACGTAGACTGTAGTTGCAATGGGGAATTGATAGGCTGGATCAATATAACTCCTCATAACCACAACCCATGACAAACTTCTGATGATCTTGTATTAAGGGCAAAGAATTATGTAGCGTAGCTGTGGTGTCCATAATAAAAGATACTTTAATTGCAACTTTATAACCAGTCCTCCCACACTTGTAATAAGCTTCTTTCTGATTTCACACAAGTAAGAATGTTTACTGCCTTCCAACATGGCCTCAGGCTTCTGCCTGCACAATAATCCAGCACAGCTTGCAGCTGCCTAGCACTAACAACGAAACCTTGCTGCTGAGTTACTAATCTCTATTTTGAGCCTTTTGAAAATCACTGGCTGCTTTCTGCTCCTCTTGCTGCGTTCTTGAGAATCTTTTCCTAAAGGCTGATTGGAGAAAGGTGCATGATCTTGCTCACCGTTTGGCTAGCTTTGCCTAATGAAGAGAAATTTCCTTTCTTGCAAATCAAAAGTAGGGATTACATCTACTAATTTTCTCCAAGCCTCTTGAAGGTAGACCTGTGCAGAATACCATTGTGATAGCAGCCGAGTAGGCAACCACTATGGGTAAATCTACATTGTGGAATTAGTGCAGTTGACATGCCTTTTACTGCCATTGCTCCATGCTGTATAGAATTCTGGGATTAGTAGTTTGGTGAGGCACCAGCATTCTATGGCAAAAAGGCTAAAGGGCTTCTAAAACTACAATTCCTAGGATTCTGTCACATTGAGCGATGGCAATTAAAGTGGTGCCAAACTACATCAGTTCTACAGTGGAGATGCATCCAGTGAGGAACTAGTGGACAGTTCATAACAAAAGAATCCTTTCGTAACAAAATAATCCTTTCTCAATTTTGTTAAAGAGTAGTCAGTTTGGAAATAACCACAGTGTACAAAAATGCATGCCAAATTAAGAATCAAGAGCTTTTACTTGATTGTGCTTCAAGCTCTATCTGCTAGTGAAAAATAAAGTTACGTTATAAGGTTAAGTTTGTGTGGTCTGTTGCTGGACTGAGGGATAGTTTTCCTTGTTAAAACAGGAAGGAGAAAATCCACACCTCTTGTGCCTCTGTCATCTCTCCCATCACATCTTGCTGCAGACCTGGGAACAGGCAAAGTTCAGAAAGAACCTGTCGTTATTCCACGCCCAGTTATTCCTAGTAGGTACTGCTTCAGGTTGGGGAGAAACAGGAGACAAAATTGAACTCACAAAAATTGGATAAATTATGGTTACAGATATGTTCCAAAGGTTGTCATAAGTGGTTTGGGAATTGATAGTGGGACTGGCCTTTGGTGGTTTTCAAGTTAATATTGAGTTCTGTAGTGGATCAACTGCGTGGACATGTAAGTAACGTATACCTTTGCTAATTTTTAATTTTTACATCTTTTTGACAGCTCCAGCTGTTAAACCAATAGCAACCCCACCTGAACAGAGACAACTTGGCCACAGCCATTCATTATCTGGTAACCTCTTGCATAGATTAATGTAGTGCACTTTATATGGATCTGTCTAATGACAACAGCCTATAAATTCCCATTTCGACCAGTATTAAGCTGTAAGTTTATTAATGGGTGCTGTCTGATTTGAACTTAATTCTACAATCATTGAGTTGAGTGTGTTGACTTTAAATCTCTAAATGGCCTGGAAACAAGTATGGACTGCATTAACCCTGACTTTGAGGTTACTTTCAGAGGCCTTTCTCCAAGTAGCATCACCAAATGAGATCTTTGGACCGCTTTTTAGGGAAAAGAGCCTCTTAGTGATAGCACTGAGATTTTGAAATATTCTTCCAATAATTTTGTATTCTTTTCAATACCAAGTTAATATTTTTGAAATTCTGCATGACCTTTTAACAGCCTTTGTAGTGAACTGTTTGGGACATATTCAGGTTTCTTAAATTTGAAATCCTCATTTTAGACCTGTGGCATTAAAGTGTTTAAATGGAATATTATATTGCCATAGACTTACATCCTCTCTCTTCCAAAAGAAAATTAAAATCGTTGGCTTGATAATGAATATTCACTATGGAAAAAAAGAACCCTGTTACCTAAAGACCCATCTGGATCAACTTCAATGAGTCTGTGCATTCATTAGGATTACATCAGTTGTCCTTCCTTGCCCTGCCATCAGATATTAGACGGGTGGCAATGTGAGAGTGTGCCTTTTCAGCAGTGGGATCCAGTTCTAAATGCTCTCTCCAGAGCTACTTCAGTGATGCTCAATTTTATGTGTTATTTACCCAGGCATATAATTACTTTTTGGCTACTATTTCCATTCCCTTTTCTTTCTGTGTTGTGTCTTACATAGATTGTAAGTTTTAGGGCAGAGAATGAGTGTGTTTTAACCTGATTTTATATTTTTGATTGCTTGTAAACTATTTGGGCAAAGAATGACCATAATAATTTTATATTTTTGATTGCTTGTAAACTTGAGGATAGAGAATGACCACAATAATAATGGGTGTTTTAACCTGATTTTATATTTTTGATTGCTTAATTATGTTTTAGCTTTTTATCTTGTAAGTTTTTAACAATATCTTTTTAATTATTATATACAGCTTGGATTTGTGATCTGGGGGGGGGGGGATGGGAGAAAAAAATAACAATAGCAACAATCACCATAATCAACCATGTAATATATTTTACAGTGCTATCTTGTAGTATTTTACGGGTTTTTGCAGTAACATTTTCCCCCCAAAAATGCATTGTTTTTCAGAATTTGATTTGAAAGTAGGCAAAAATAACTCAAAAAAGATTTTTTAATTCAGCAGAGTGCAAAATGCTTTGCTTGTCTGTCCTATGTACTTTATCACAGTCATGGCAGACACTCTCACTTCTCTTATATATTGTCTAGATATCTTTGGACCCTTCTACACAGTTATATAACCCAGAATATTGAGGCAGAAAATCCCGCAAAATCTGCTTTGAACTTTTTTTTTCGTGTCAGGAGCTACTTGAGAAACTGCAAGCCACTTCTGGTGTGAGAGAATTGGCCATCTGCAAGTACGTTACCCAGGGGGCATCTGGATGTTTTACCATTGTGTGTGAGGCTTCTCTCATGTCCCCGCATGAGAAGTTGGCACTGACAGAGACACCGCGCCCCAGATTCAAACTGCCGACCTTTCAGTCAGCAGTCCTGCTGGCACAAGAGTTTAACCCATTGCGCCATCTGAGTCCACACTTCCATATATTTCAGTTAAAAGCAGAAAATGTGGGATATAATTCAACTGTGTAGAAAGGTCCTTGCTATACCTTGGTTGTCAAGAATACTGGCTCTTTGATATTATTGACCTTCTTTTCAAACTCGTGTTTCCTCTGTATGAATGCTTCTGGGTGGGAATCTTTCTAGAAGAATCCTTCAATCTTTTGTTGCAGTAAAACATCCTCATGTCCGTCCCTTTATTATTGTCTTGTTTTACAGATCAGGTTGACTTTCCCCAGAGGTCACCAAGAACTTGTGCACATTACTTTTTTTTTGTTAATATTATCTTTGACTTTTACTAGAACATGTGATACAGCTTCTGAAGCAAAGCAAAAACCTTTTTTGTAAAACAGTAACTTAGGAATGTTTAACTACATTTATGCAATATAGCACTGAATGAACTCACAGTTTATGTTTCAGAGACTTTTGTGAGTAGAAGATAGCTTTTAGAAATGAGTCAGATATATAGTGTATTTTACTTAAAAGACAGACTGGTGGTGCAGCGGGTTAAACCTCTGAGCTGCTGAGCTTGCTAACTGAAAGGTCGTCAGTTCAAATCCAAGGAGTGGAGTGAGCTCCTGCAGTTAGCCCCAGCTTCTGCCAACCTAGCAATTTGAAAACATGCAAATGTGAGTAGATCAATAGGTACTACTTATTTATTTACTTTACTTTATTTATATACCGCTTTTCTCAGCCCTCAGGCGACTCAAAGCGGTGAACAACATCGATACAAAACATCACAAGACAAGTATAGGGCAATTAAAAACAATTGTAACATAAATCATTAAACATCAGTATAACAATCATTAGCGCCTCAACAGTAAAATCAGAATCCAGTCTCATCATCTATTATTCTGTATTCCTATGTTCAATTACACTGTTTAATGCTTGTTCGAACAGCCAGGTCTTCACTTTCCTACTTCAGCACTCCATATAATCATACCGGCCACATGACCTAGGAGGTGTCCATGGACAACGCCGGCTCTTTGGCTTAGAAATGGAGATGAGCACCACCTCCCAGAGTCAGACATGACTAGACCTAATGTCAAGGGGAAACCTTTACTTTTTTTTACTTAAAAGCCTTTTTTGAATTCTAATATAATTTTGTCTAGTGGATTTCCTAGAATTTCATCTACTTTGGAGAAGACAAAACTTTCTAGACATAGAATTTGTTGTGTTCAAAATGGTAGTAGTATTAGCTTGCATAGTGCTAATATTTACTACTATTTTTGGGGATGAGTAATCACAGTTCAAGTTGTGCTTAGTGTGATGTGTTCCTTTAGAAGAAATTCATTCTACAAAGCTTTACCATCTGATTACTAATTATTTATGGCTTGAGAGGTGCATAGCGTGGTCTGAAATTGCAGGAGTTCCACTGAAAAGTGCTCCAGCTTATATGCACAAAATGGTTTCCGACGTCTCTAGTAGGACAAATGGTAGAGAAAGGGCAGTGTTTGAATTTCATAATTTGTTGTGTTTTCAATTCACTCGGAGATGGAAACATAAAGCAATGGGATAGAAAGATTCTACACATAATTGTACATTCAAACAACTTTACAACCATGGAATATAACTTCAGTCCCAATTCACTACCTCCAAGATATCCTTTATTTATAATGATGTTTGTTGAATTAGTCTTTCTTTTTCTTTCCTGCCTTAATAATTTTGATATCTTCCTTCTGATTAATCTGTTCCTTCTGAGTTCTTTTGACTTCTCGGTTGTAATAGAGGCCATTGCCTTTTTGTCTCCAGGAAAATGCTGCTTATTTTGTTTATTTAAACATTGTGTCACATTTGATTTTAAAAAAAAATCTTGCAAGCAATAATAACTATAACCAAACAATAATGTGTCTTTAAGCACCTTTGTTTATTCCTGTGAACTTTGCTGCCCTACCTATAGAGTATGGACCTTTGATGTCATTTCTGTTCTACCAGCAAATAAAATACCCTTTTTGGATATCAATTCACAATGAGTAAAAACTGTCAATTTCAAGGGCTGCCTGGACTCTTCCCTCTGCTATGTATTCTTGTATCCTTCATCAAAATATCCAGTTACGTTGAGATTCCATCTTCACTTCAATGAGTTGCCATCACCCTCTAGTGAATTTGGTTACCAAGCTATATTCCACTGGTCTTAATGCTTTTCCAACTTGAATATTTAATAAGTCTGCTGGCACACACCAAGGAGATTGATTGATCTTTATAGATAGAACATGGATCAGGCGGGCATATTTCTAGCAGTATTTTAGTGTGTCTCCTACAAAATGTATATTGCACATAGATGTTAAAGAAGGCCTCAGCTCCTCTCCCTTTACTTGAGGGTACAAATAATTGGCTCACTTAGAAGGAATATTGTCAGGCAGATTCTGAAGCAGTAGAATCTGTCCTTAGTATAACTTGCATAGAGTTTTTTTGTACTTAACCCTGGAAGACTACATTTATTTTTGTGACTCAGTCCTAAGAGATGCATATGAAAAGAGTTTCAGTGTCCTTTTTGTGTAAACAGGCAGATACAGCTGGAAAATGTGAAGGTGGACAGATTGTACACGAATTTGCGTTTTCTGTTCTTTTGTCTGTTTGGGTGGTCTGTTGGGATTTTGGCAATTAAACTAAGCATTTCTCACTTAACTGTCCAGAAGCTAGCCTGATCCTGCATGTGCAGAGGAAAGTACCATATTTATGCCAGTGTTTAGCTTGGCACAAAAACTGTATAGTTTATTAAGCTTGCTGTGTTTGGCCGTAAGTCTGTTTGTATGAATGCAGTTGTACTTTTATTATTAAATTGTTGGCAGTGACCAAATTCTCATTTGAATCTAGGCTTCCCTACAACTTGGAATAATATATATATTTATCTCTCTTGACCTGAGGCCCAATGTGGTTTGGGGGCAAGGGGAAATTCTTTCCTTGCACTGGTCAAGTTCTGGGTTTATTTGGGATGTATTGCCCTGTTGTCTGGTACAAGTAAGTGAAAACTACCTTTTTGTCTGTTTTGTTCTGATATTTGCATTGTTCTGCTAGTTGGATAAGGTGACCTTACTTATATAATTTATATTAGGCTAAATCTTCATGTCTCTTAATTTAGAAGAATTCACTTGAGTAAAACTTTTCCTTTACTGGTCTGTATTATTGGGCAGGTTTTGCAACTCTTTAAACTTCTTTTGCACTTTATTAAGTGTATGACTTTCTTTATGATATCGAGAATGGCAATGGTTCACAATAGTGTTAAGGTTATCTACTCTTCAATATGTCTTGCTTCTTTTGTTTGAAATTATCTTTCTGAATCCTTTATTAGAGTTTTTAAAAAGTTGGATGTGTAAAATATCTCAGTTTGGGATATACAGAATAAAACCTGTGCAACCTATGGTTGAAACAGCATTTTGAGAAAAAGTTTGAAATATTTGCAATATTTATTTGACAATCATTGCTAAATCTGGGTGTCCCTTTATGCTCCAAAATAGATTATATACAATGACATGCAATGATATAATTATGCTGCTGAAAAATTGTTTTCTTTTAATCTATATGCTTTAAGAAAATTTGCCACTTGCATAACTGCCAGTTGGGACAATTATTATAGTTTTGACAACGTAAATATTATTTGTGCAGTGAAAATCTGTTTCTTTTACATGAGAGAAGACCTCTCTAAGAATTCCTAGATCTCGAACTATTTTGATCATGGAATACTTTTGATCATGGAAGACCTTTCCCCCCCGATGGAACCCTAACTCTTTCCCTAAGCATTGTAAACCCACAGAGTTCTTCCTTCATTCATCTACTCATTTTGCCTGGGTGTTTTGTATGATTTAAATTTGGAAATAAAGAGATTCAAAATTATTTTTTAAAACAGAAGTACATTGAATTTCAGTAAGATCAACAACACAGACTTTTTAAAAAAGTTTTTTCGCTGAACCCTTACAATGCTTTTGTGAAACCCTAGGGTTCAGCAGAACACATTTTAAAAATAGTTTTTATTGTGAGATTTTAAATCATAACAAAAGAGGGGGAACACATTTTGAGAACCACCACTCTAGATCATCCAGCAGGACGTTGGTCAGCTTCTGCTGGAAGTTGACCATAGAGTCATTGTTGAGAACTGGGAAATTATTAATAAGGAAGTACAATTAATATTATAGCTTTGATTATACTTTTAAAATGTTTAGGCCCTTCTGATAAGAAAGTGTCCTATTGTCTGAATTGCTTGGTGATACCTGCTTTTGTCTTTCAGAATATGACAAACTGGGGTTCCTCCTGCAGCTGGATTCCAAACTGTGAGTATACTATAGGAGGTCTTTGTTATGATCTGTTGTTATTGGTTTCCCTAGGAGACAAAACAGTTAGCATAACAAATAGGGATGGTTCTCAATAATGCCACAGCAGAGATAGATAACAGAGATAACTCTCAATCATCAAAATAGATCTAAAATCATAATATTTTGTTTTTGACAACTAGTTTACATTTGTGTTGTTGTGATATATTTCGAAGTGCAGGCTATGCCCATAAGGTGTATCTGAGGTCTTCTTTAAAACTAATGGGCCTTAACTACCTATTTGAGACCAAGCTCACAACATTATTGTTGCAAAGAAAATTCATCCCCCATCCCCAGCTATTTGTGAAAATTGCCATAAAACTCAGAGAATAAGAGTGAATCCTGAACAAAAAAACAAGGGACAGAACTATCCATACTAATGAAAGGTTCCTGGTGCTCCAAGCATTTGTGTTCTGGTGCCTTTACTACTGATCCCATGCAGGTCTACCAGATGAGTTCAATGGGACTTCCACTTTCTTTTGGGCTGCTTGCAATCACTGAAGTGAACACAGAATCAAAGCACCCCGACTAATGGCCATCCAGCCTCTGCCTAAACAACTTCAGAGATGGACACTCCACCATGCTACCCCAACTAGAGTAGATTAGTTAAACCAATTTCTAAATCATAAACCAAAATTTAGTACAAGTACAAAGTAAATTAGTGACATTTTCTGTAGCTTGTGTGTGCCTTCACGTTACCCATTCATTTATGGCTATCACATTCATTGCATAATGTTTTTTCAGGCAATAAGTATTCAGGTGTGGTTTATCTCTGTGTTCCTCTGAAATATAGCCCTGAGTACAGTGGCCTGGGGTTTAGTTCCAGGACTCCCATGAATACTAAAATTCATGGATACTCAAGTTCCATTATATACAGTGGAGTAGTAAACTGATGAAGTAGTAAAATGTTTGGGGCTTTGAATTTTTTTATTCAAATATTTTCAAGCTGTGAATGGTGGAATCAGTGGATACAGAATACATGGGTATGGAAATCCAACTGTATTAATCACCATAAGTTAGGAATGACTTGAAGGCACTCAGCACCACCAACAAATCCATTGGCAGACTGTCATTTAAGTACTAACCAGGGCTAACCCTGCTTAGTATCTAAGAACAGTATCTGCAAGATGTTTAGGTACTCTGTTTATAACTTACATGGGAATAATTTTAGAAAACATTGCAGTGACAATTTTCCAAAGTAAATTGGAATTAGAAAATAAAGAATTAAATTTTAAAGCAATAACAGCTAGCATCACTTGGAAGGGTTTGATGGTAACAGAGTTTACGGTTCTTTTATATTGAAAGCCTGGTTTGGTTGTGGTCTGACCAAGTCAGTAGTGTCAGATCCTATAGGTGAGGAATGCAGTAAATAAGTCAGTAAATAGTGCTATTTATTGTTTTGCAATTTAAATCCTTGGAATTGTTAGGTTTCTCAATAATGAGTACTCTATAACTGCTGTGAGTCGCCTAAGGGCTGAGAACAGCGGTATACAAATAAAGTAAATAAATAAATAAATATATGATAATAGATTTAGTGTTATTTTTACCAATAGAAGGTCAATGTTACTTCTACATAATAAGGACCTTTTGTTTGTTTGTTTGTTTACTTACTTTATTTATATCCTGCTTTTCTCCCCATGTTGACTCAAAGCGGCTAACAACCACACAATTCGGTCACAATTTAAAACAAAGTGGATACAAAAATAAAAAAACAAATAGTACTGTGTGGATTTAGGTTAAAATACAGTTAAATATACTCCATACAATTGAAATTTCATTTAAAGCTCACAATCACCCCCCCCCCCCCAAGAATCCCACCCACAGTTTCCCCAGCAGCATGCCACTCACCTTTCTCTCTGGCAGATAAAAGTCTTGACCTCCTTGCAGAAGGCAAGCAGGGATGGGGCAATCCTGGTCTCTCCGACAGTGTGGGAGCAGCCACCAAAAAGTCCCTCTTCCATGTTCCCACTAAACTCACTTTTTTAACCCCTATATCCCAGAAAAAACAGCTTGATGTAGACTCATACGATGAGTGTGTATATAGATATAAAAATAGATATACAGGATGTCCCAAAAATCTCCATACATAGGAAAAAATAAACTCATTTTATATTTAAATATATTTCTATATTTTGTAAATTTTTGTAATTAATATTTTGTAAATAAAGTTACATTTAGTTTCAATTTCCCATTTCACTTTATTTGAAGACTTTTGGGATACCCTGTATATTTTAGTATGAATATAAAGGTGAGTATCCCTTATTTGAAAACTTGAAATACTCCCAGATCAAAAATTGTCTGCTTGGATGGCTGAGAAAGAGACATCATTGCTTCCTGTACACGTATATTGCTTCATTCACAAAGCTATTAACGATATAAAATTTGGCATAAAATTACTTTCAGGTTATGTGTTTTAAGTACATATAAAACATACATGAATTTAATGTTTAGACTTATATCCAATCTCCAACATATTTTACGATGCGTGTATCAATATTTCATTTTTTTCAAAACATCCAAAATCTAAAGCACTTTTCATACCAAGTATTTTTAATAAGGGATACACAACCTTTATACTATGCACAAGCCTGAAGTATAAGCAGAGTATTCTTAAAGATACTATCTATGAACAGCATTCAACATTCTTATTCCATCAGTCGAAATGATTTATGGACATCTACTTCCAGACAGTGTTCAGGGAATGTGAGTATTCCTGAGAAGAGTAAAAGTATGAAGAATCTAATGAACAATCTAAAAAATACAGTGGTAAGCTCAGAGAATATGATACTTAAAGCTTACCAGGGAATTTCAGATGTTCAAACTTTCTCATTTGTGAGTACAGTACTTGCCTCATACGTTGGGCAGTGGCTGTTCAGTAACTATGAGCAATTTGATACAATATCCTTTTTGTTGCTTCATTTCAGGTACTATAAGTAGCCAGCGCAGAAAGATACAGCAGTTGAGAAATGAAGACTAAAGTAAGCCATAACTAGCTATAAGTTTCAGAAGTGTAGCCATGTTAGAAAGAGCAAAAAGGTATCATTTTCTGGCCTGGTGTTATCTTCCTTCCCAAGGAGATATCCTATTTTCATTTGCATCAGGGCACTGTTTTACCTACTTCGTTTCCAAACTCGACCTCTTCACTGGAGAGAAAGCTTCACTTGACTGATATGAAGTATGCCTTATAATTTTATTTGGACAGGACTCAGGATTCCTTGAATTTACATAGACATTTTCTTGCCTATGTTAAGGACAGATTGGAATTGATAGCGATCACTGGGCTGTGTTAAAGCCTCATGGGGCTAGGGCAGCTTCTGCTGCTTTTCTAAAGGTGATTCCACGAAAAGCCATTTGTAAGGCGTCTACATGGAGTACCTTTGTTTCACACTACCAATTGAATGCTTGATCCCTGAAATATACTTTCGTTGGTTGCTCTGTACTACTGTCATGTGTTTTGTGATTCCCCTCACCCTTTCTGGGTTAGTTTCGAGGATAACTTTATGTGTTTTCTTCGCTATGCAGTGCTCACTGGGCAGATTTACTGACTGTATTGGATTGTTCCTCTGACTGTACAAGGTTATCTTACCTGAATGTATGGTCATCCTTTGTGTGATGTTTATTGAGCACTTTATGTATGGTAACATGTGCCAAAGAGTCAGGTGACACTTTTCAAAGCTTTATTTTGTAAAACTTTGCTAAGTATATTAATTCATACTGTATTGATGGTACATTGACATCAAGCCGTGATGGTTATACATAAATTGTATGATACATTTCACATTGTTTCATTGTACTCTTTACAGAAGTCTTCTGTTATGGGTACATCATTCATGGTGAATAATTTTGTACCAAAGGCGATAGTCTGCTGTGTATCATGACTCCTGTCTCTGACAACTTTGGCTTGCTAGTCATACAATTCTTCATTCACAGAGACCATGAAGAAGGACAGGTTGTTTACCTGTAACTGTATTTCTTCAAGTGATCATCTGTGAATTCACACTGTCCCACTCATCCTCCCCAGACAGGGGTCATCCCACCCCAAGTCTCAATATGGGTTGCAGGCTGCGGCCTAGGAACGGAGGGGTTTGGTGCCAATAATAATATTATAATAATGCTTTATTTGTTACCTGCCCTGAGGGGTCTCAGGGCAGTTTCCAGCAAAATAAAATACAGTAGCAAACATTCAATGCCCATAATAACATATAACAAAGACAGAATCAATAAAATCGAAGTAACAATTTAAAATAAACCTGCATAGTACAACTCAAACTTCACATATAATAAATGTGTAAAAACACTTTAAAAACTAGACAAAAAATAATTGTTTGAACCAAGATTTATATAGCTTGCAAGCAAGGTCCAACAATTTGGCAGAGGTATATATCAAGATGTAATTAATCTTGACCTTAGCCTCGGAATGTTGGGCGGGGTTACTGCAACCAGATTTTATATAGCCTCGGGATGGTGGGTGAGGTTACTGCTGAAACTTTTCTGCCTAGTGATTCTAGAAAGTTCTGAACAGCGTGAATTTACAGATGACCACTCGAATAAATACAGTTACAGGTAAGCAACCTGTCCTTATCCAGCATCTAGCAATCCTCATGGGTTCCAGTGAAATTAGAGTCATGCTTTTCTTTTTGAGTGTACAGCAGCATCTGTGTAGGACAGGTGTCAATCTTCTAACAGCATACCAGTACCCCCAAATGTATTGTGATCATACTTAATTTTTAAAAGAAAGAATTGCTGGTTATTTCTAGCAAGGGTAACAGTTCCTGATTACAATAATGGCATGTTGGCAAGACAGAGGAATGGGTTAAAAATTAAGTTTCCTGCAGAGCTTAATAAAGAAAATAATTCTACAGCAGGGAGAGATTCAGAGTGAACGACATCTGAGCATAATGTTTTGTGGATATTATGTCCAGACTGATGACCCTGTTGACAGAACTGGTTTCATTATATGG